GAGCCCATCATGCTTGGGGATGTGGAAGGTGGGATTGGGACCCATTTGCCCTTTTGAAAGGATAAATAGGAAGGAGGATGGATTATTCAACACCACAGCATGTTAGAAATTCTTCCTCCAACAACACTTGAAGAAATTGAAAGTTTGCAGCCAAATGTTATAACTCACATTGTTCTCCAGCACCTGGGAGTGCTGCTTCACTATTTGGTCTAAACATATTAAATTATATTTCAAGCTTCTTCCCTCATTGCTTTGATTCTTTTCTTCCAATGGCTCTTGACAGTGACAGTAAAAGACAGTCCTTCACAAAATGATAGACCATTGTAATATTGAAACTTTTATCTTTCATATTATTATCATTCTTATAGTTATTTTCCAGAATTCTAAGAAATATCTAATAGAATACCATCAAGTATATTTTCAATAAAGCATAAACAATACCTTCTAAAAAGGAAATTACCCAGCATGAAATACAAAATGGATATTCAAAATCCAATTCCCCAGACAGATACTTTAGTGTAACATCTAAACAGAACACTGATTCTCCAGGAAAAATGACAGGACAATTTGGTTTCCAAAGTAGCTGAATGTGCTTTCCATTTGTCAGTGGATGCAGTAGGTGATGGCCATGCCCCATATGGTGTTTAGGAAGGGGCTTCCTGGGTGTTAAAAAGCCTCACGCATTCCAACATAACCTTGACTTACAGAAATCTTCAGGTATAGTTTGCCTGTTGCCTTTATCCGTACCAGGTTCTCCTTTCCTGATTATTAGAGATTCATATCCTGAGCCTGTGAAGGGGAATCAGAGTACAAAAACCCCCCTAGACTAACACAGCCCCTATGTGCAGAAAGCAGAAAAGAAATCCGTGTGAGCATTTATACATTACACCCTCTTCTACAAAGTTTTGGAAAGGTTTTGTCACTTTTCTTCACATTTCAACTTCCCTCTCTTTTGACTGGAGTCAAATCTTCTGTGCTAATGGACTGCACAAAACATACTGTGCACCAAACAAACAGCACCCCTTCCCCTTCTGATCTGCTTTAACTAAGTCCGTTTATTTAATATTTTATTTACCGTGAACATTAACATAAACATTAAACATGTTATGCACCTGGACCTGGAGGCAACACCTGCCAGCTCGGCTGTGCCTAAGCGAGAGCAGGTTCCAGCACCGCCAGCACAGCCGGGAGCTCCCCCGCCCCGCAAGCATTTCTCAGCGCAAACTTTGTGAGCTTTAAGAACTGCTCCAGAATCAGAGAAGCGGCGATAGAAGGTGGGGCAACTGAGGACGAGCAACGTGAGGCTCCCAAACGCCCAGCGCTAATCATCAGAGCAGGATGCCCTCCCCTTGCAGGCCGGCGGGGCGAGCACCGCACCCCGATGGCTCCGGGATAGGGGGACAGATCTCTCCTTGCTCCTGCACCCCGAGAGTAGTGGGATGGAGGGTCAGGTCCCCCCCCGCC